TTCAGAGGATACTAAGAAAACCTGGCAAATAAAAGATTAAAAAATCAAGCATTTATTCTGCCTCCCCTATTTTATACAGTGGGTTACCAAATAGCAGATGAGAGGAAACATCTTTTTACAAAAAACGTATTGTGACTAATCATTAGAAAAAGAAATGATAAAATGAGAATGACCACTATCACAAAATTCCCAAAGAATTAGCAGATCTAGGCAATGTGCATCTACAGCTGCTGATATCACAAAAAAGCGGAGCAACTGTACATTCACATTCTTGCTACAGGAATACAAGTCTCATCGTACCACTTGGTCAAGCTACCAATTTTCAGGAAATACATAGGACAAAGGAACATATGGGAAAGCACAATGAGCACGCAATCAACATACATTTGTTTTGGATAGCTTTCCGTATCTGTATTTCCTTTTAAAAAATGAATTTTAAATATTTACTCTGATGTTGATTATCAGTCTAGAAGAAACCAGAAATATAACTCAATGAAATGTCAGGATTCATACTATTTATGTTTAGCTCATTTTTATGCAGTAATATACCCCATAAGGAAACATAAAATCATCATTATGTCACTGAAATCTGAACTAGTGTGCTAGAGAACACAGAAAGACCTGGGTTTCAAATTTATCAGAATAAGAAAAACTTACTGGGTAAACTTTTAACCTCCAGCAAAGTCCTGAAACTTGAAGAGGTGGGCTATAAACAGGATCTGCTCTCTGGCGCAAAGTGCTAAGAAAAAAGAAAATCAACCAAATCCTAAGATCAAAATTACCATAAAATGTAAACATGAAAAACAAAAACCAATCACTTTATTTGTGTTATATATTGTCCTTGACATATTATGTTACATATTTATTGTTACATGTTGTTTTTCAGAAGTTCCTGAAGGTGATTAAACAATTCAAGATTCTACTGCATAAACTTAGATACATTTACATTCTGAAGTAAGCAAAATTAATGATACTTAAATATTCAGCAATATCTTTCAAGTTTCAAGGGAAAAAAAATAAACACGTAAAAATTGAGACATTTAAAGGAAAAGATAAGTATCCTGAATCTAATTACTGCTTCATCAAGCAGCCTTTCACTATTAAAAACAAACCAAAACCCAGAATGTATTATTTATTTCCTCATCTCTCTGTAACGTAATTACCCTTTTATAATTCAGAAAAAAGAAAAGGAGAACATGTGATAAATCTTACTAATGTTGGAAAAATCTCTCCAGAAAGCCAATAATATTTTAACTACAAAATTATTCCATAAGAACAAACAAACTGGGAGTAGAATAAATTCTTGCAGTTTAGCCTTATTTCAATGGTTGTTATCACCTACTTAGAATTTCTTTCTCCAGAGTAAGCCCTTACATTCTTAGCTCCGCATTTCCATGCTACCCTTAAAGGCAGTCCTTTAAGACCTTTGTTATTTAAGATTTTTGGTGCTAATATTAGAGAAAAAGCAGTAAAGGCTAATAAAATGTAAGTTATAAAACCGACAAATTTCTTACAATAATGATCCCTCATCTAAAATTCCATACTTTGAGCTGAGATAAAAGCATCCCAATGGAATTCTTCCCACACTTTCATTTCTGATGATGGGGTAGGAAAGGTCCCAGATCTTCGATCACTATACTCCCCTCTCTACCACCTTAGCAAAGGCCAAGAGAATTTACTTCTTTAAAATGGTTTCTTTTGGTCATATAGTCAAGTAATCAGTACAAAAGGTAAAATACAATCCAGACAAATGACTTCTTTGTTTCTAAAAGAAAGCTTGCTTCTTCTAAAAGTACTAAACTCAGTGTTATAATTAACTAGACTTCTGTCCTACCCAGGAATGACTCTGTCTTGTGCATAAATATAAAAAACCAGTAGTTGTCAAAAACTCTTACCTGAAATTCTCTAAAACAAAAGTAGCTGAATCATAAGATGGCACTAATTCACTAGGAAAAAAAAAAAATGAAAAATTACTTAGCTTGTTTAGTTGAAAATTTTATTTAGCTGAAAAACTTCCAGGGACACAAAAGACCTATACAAAGAAAACTACAAAACACTACTATAAGAAACTATGAGATCTACAAAAATGGAAGAACACACCATGATCTTGGATAGAAAGACTGAACATTGTGAAAATGTCAATACTACCCAAAGCAATCTATAGATCCAATGCAATCCCAATGCAGATTCCAGAAACATTCTTTAAGGATATGAAAAGACCAATCACTAATTTTATATTGAAAAGAAAGGGATCTCAAATAATCTAAGTTAATGAAGAACAAAGTAGGAGGTTTCAAGATCTATAATACAGGCACAGTAGTCAAAAAAGCCTGGTACTCATACAATGACAGACACATAAACTGGTAGAACAGAACTGAGAATCCAGAAACAGATCTATCCACCTATGGACAGCTGATATTTGACAAAGACCCAAAATCTATTAAATGGGGAAGAGACAGTCTCTTAAACAAATGGTGCTGGCAAAACTGGGTATCCATTTCCAGAAAAATTAAACAAGATCCTTACCTCACACCATACACAAAAACTAACTCAAAATGGATCAAATACTTACATATAAAACCTAAAACTATAAAGTTCATCAAAGAAAAAAAAGGGACAAACTTAAGAGCCCTATATATGGCATAAATAAATTATCAAGAATAACCCAAAATGCAAAAAGCGCAGAAGATAACCTAGATGACTGGGACATTCTAAAATTAAATTCTTATGCACATCAAAAGACTTCTCCAAAAGAGTAAAAAGAGAACCTACAGACTGGGAAAAAATATTTGGCAATGACATATGTCACAAGGGACTTATCTCTAAAATTTACAGAAAATTCAAATACCTCATCATCAAAACAACAAACAATCCAGTTGAAAAATAGGCAGAAGATATGAAATAACACTTCACCAAAGATGACATTAAGGAGACCAACAAACACACGAAGAAATGCTTACAATCAGTAACCACTGTTGTTGCTAGTTGCCATCCAGTCAGCTCTGACTCAAAGCGACTCTATGTATAACAGAATGAAACACTGCCCAATGCTGTGCCAGCCTCACAATTCTTGCTATATCTGAGCCCACTGGTGCAGCCACTGTGTCAGTCCATCTCTTGAAGGCCTTCCCCTTTTTCATTGACCCTCCATTTTACCAAGCATGATATCCTTCTCCAAGGATTGGTCCCTTCTGACAACATGACCAAAGTAGGTGAAAACTGGCCATTCTCGCTTCCAAGGAGTATTAACCATTACAAAAACCAAAGCAAACACACTGCCGTCCAGTCAGACCTGACTCATTAGTACCCTGCCTTGGGTTTCCGAGGCAGTATCACTATGGAAGTAGATTGCCCAACCTTCCTTCCAAGGAGTGGCTGGTGGGTTTGAACTGCCATCCTTCTGGTTAGCAGTCAAGTGCCTTAGGCACTATGAGGTGCAAATCAAAAGAACAGTAAGTTATCTCACCCCAGAAATAATAGCAGTGTTCAACAAGACAGAATACAACAAATGCTGGCAAGGGTGCGGAGGGACTAGAACTCTCATATATTGCTGCTGGGATTGCAAAATACAACACTGGAAAACAGTATAACCAAAAGAAAACCCACTGCTACTCAGTAGATTCTGATTCATAGCAGCCCCCACTGGGTTTCTGAGGCAATAAATCTTTACAGAAGTAGATTGCCCAGTCTTGCTTCTGCAGGGAAATAGTATGGCACTTCCTTAAAAAGTTGGAAATAGAAATACCATTTGATCCAGCAATCCCACTACATTCTAAAGAAAGGAAAACTGAGATATATATGCATACCCAGGTTCATCACAACACTATTTACAATAGCAAAGAGACAGAAACAACCTAAGCCCCATCAACAGATGAAAGGATAACCAAACTATGGCACATGCACGCAATGGAATACTACTCAACATTAAAGAATAATGAAGAACCAGCGAATCATCCCTTTACATGAATGAATTTGAAGGAAACTATGCTGACTGAATTCAGTCAATCACAGAACGGTAAAATTTGTATGAGTCCACCACTATAAAAAGTCAAGGATAGGTTTATACATGGAAAGCAACTTTCTTTGTTGGTTATCAAAGATGGGAGGGTAAGGGTAGGAGAAAGGGAATATACCCATGACCGTATATAAGTTTGGCAGACAACATTTCTACACATGTATTTGTATGAGCTGTAAGAATGCTCATATATATAATAAAGCAAACAGGGGACAAAGTCACAATAACTCCTTAGCCACAGCCAAACACCTTGAGGAATGAGTCTTTAGGCCTACAGGCTTGGGACCATGGTCACAGGGAACATCAAGCTCAAATGACATAACATACTACATACAAAAACACTGTGCTACATCCTACTTTGATAAGTAGTGACTGGGGTCTTAAAAGCTTGTAAGTGGACATCTAAGTTACAACAATTGGTCTCTCCTTCTCTGGAGCAAAGAAGAGTGAAAAAAAGCAAAGACATAAGCAAACAATTAGTCCAAGGGCCTAGCGGATCATAGGAACCTCAGCCTACATAACCCTGAGACCCTGAGAACTAGATGGAAGCCAGCTACCACCGTTAATCACTCAGAAAGGGATCAAAGTAAAAGATTTTGGGTAGAGTGGGAAAAAATATGGGACAAACTCAAAATCATAAAAAAGACCAGACTTGAGGGAGTGATAGTTGGACTTGTGGGCTCAGGAGCATGCTTGCAGGGGACATCAAGCTCAAGTGGCATAATATACTACACAAACACACTGTTCTACAACCTACTTTGGTGAGTAGCTACTGGGCTCTTAAAAGCTTACAAGTGGCCATCTAGATGCAACAATGGGTCTCTCCTTGTCCAGAGCAAAGAAGAATGAAGAAAACCAAAGATGCGTGGAAACAATTAGTACAAGTGACTACCAGACCATGCGATTCTCAGCCTGTATGACCATGAGACCAGATCTAGATGGTGCTCAGCTACCACTGTCAACCACTCGGAAAGAGATCAGTGCACGAGATCCTGGATAGAGTGGAACAACAAAGTGGAAGAAAACTCAAAATCTTAAGGGAAAAAAAAAAAAAAAGGCGAGGTTTACTCATCTGATAGAGCTCAGTAAGACCAACCCCCACCCCCCAAGACTATGGCCCACAGTTACCCTTCAGGTCTGGAAATGAAGTTACTCCTGTGGCTTCCAGCCAAACAACAGACAGGCATATAGGGTGAACAATTACATCAGGTAGATACACAGCTTAGCACAATCAATCGTGGGAGAACAGAAGGGCAGTGTTTGCACAAGGAGATAACTTAGGGGGCAAGAATGCATAGGAAAGAAGGACACAGGGAAGAGGTAACTCAGGGAGGAAGTGGGAAGAGAGCTGTTACATTGTGGGGAATTACAGTCAATGTCATGAAACAAAATGTGTATGAACTGCTTTATGGAAAATAAATTTACTCTGTAAACCTTCACCCACATCACAATGAAATAAAAATAAATAAATAAATAAATAAGACCAGGCTTACTGGTCCCCAAGCCATGGATCTTAGTCACCCTTCAGGCCCGGAAAGAGCTCACTCCCATGGCTTCCAATGAACAACAGACAAGCCTACAAGGTGAACAATTACACCAGGTAAGTACACTCCTTACAATAATCTACCATGGGAGATCAGAAAGGCAGCATTTGTGCAGGGAGATAGCCCATAGGGCAGGAATTTACAGGAAACAAGGACACAGGGAAAAGGTAACCACAGGAAGGAAGTGGAAGAAAGCTATTACATTGTGAGGATTGCAATCAATGTCACAAAACGTGTATGAATTGTTGAATGGAAAATGAATGTGCTCCATAAACTTTCACCCAAATCACTGTTTTTTAAAAAAGAAGAAAAACCAAATTAACTTTCTCAGTGGCACAGTAATATTTTTAAAATGTTACTGACCTTAAGATATATTTTTGATATAACATTAAATGAAATAATTCTTAAAACCATCAAACATGGAGAGGCGGGGCAAGA